TTTTTAATTGAAATAGTGCTATCAGTGTTAATGAAATACTGAGCACCAAAATATATGGGAAATAGCCACAAGGGCTTCTTTGAGAGCATCCATGGGAATACAGATAAATGCTCTTATCCACTGGCCCCAAAGTAGGGCTACTGGTATTTCTCTGTCTTCTGGGCCTTAGCATTAATAATAGGTAAGGGACTTAGTTGAATTAAGCCCCAACAACAGATAATAGAAATTTAGCAAATAAACCAGGATCCCAGGCACCTTTGAGTAAAGAAGATGTGACATCAGAAATGTGCAAATTCTTAAACACCATGGCCTTACAGAGGTTGTCAGTGCACAGTTGTAGTCTTTAAGACTCCCAGGTGCTAGCCAAATGGAGTATTCTGCTTTGCTTATCCTAAGTGTGTATTTTGAGAAAATCCTACACTTGTCAGTTAGCCTCAAACTTGAATTCCACTCTTCACTCTCTCCCTTTCAGTGTGTGATAACTTGGAAAACTTCGCCTCAGGCAGTCCTTTCCTATGCATGGATCTCAGTTACATCACAGCCTTGTTGAAGGATGGCTTTGGCTTTGCAGACAGTACTGTCTTACAGGTAAGAGAGATGGTACTGAAATCATGTAACAGTCTACTTATTTGGGAATTAGGAAGATTTAAGAACTTGTTTAGTAATAAAAGTGGCTGCAGGTGGAATTATAAGGTGTTTTTGTTAGGGCTATGGACAAGGCACTCTGCAAGACACCATGAATGTGGGAAATTAGCTTGATGGAATGGTAACTTTTTTTTTTTTTTTAATGTTTTCATTTATTTTTGAGAGAGACAGAGCATGAGCGGGGGAGGGGCAGAGAGCGAGGGAGACACAGAATCTGAAGCAGGCTCCAGGCTCTGAGCTGTCAGCACAGAGCCCGACGCGGGGCTCAAACCCATGAGCTGTGAGATGATGACCTGAGCTAAAGTCGGACGCTTAACCGACTGAGCCACCCAGGCTCCCTGATGCAATGGTAACTTCTAAGTATATTCCCAGGCAAGCTATCCTAGGGGTCACAGAGCAGAAAGGCGTGCATCCCAAATTAAGATGCCCAAGTCACATGGTTTATTGAATCAAATTCAAAACTCAGGGCAAGAAGCAAAGGGAAAGAAATAGGATAGGTGAGAACATATAGGATAGGGTGGAAATGGGCAGGCTGGAAATGCCATACTTCTTAATTCCTGGGTTCATATGTCCTGCATCTCTCTCTCTCTCTGCTGATAGTGCAGTTATAAGTACTAGAGCTGATCAAGGGGGTACAAGGACAGAAGGTGCCTGGGTCTGTCACACAAATTTGCTCTATTCGGAGAGGCAGAGGGGCAGGTACAATGGCTAGTAGCATTCACTCACTCATTACCCTATTAGATGGTTTTATTCGGCAGAGGACAAAAGGATGTCACCAGTGAGTGGCTTATTCAAGTTCTCATTAATGTTGAATGCCTTGTGTATATGTAGTATGTCCTATATATTATATGTGTGCCTCATATATTTAGTGCCTCTTGAATCTTGTGTCCCTTTTTGTCCTGCTGTCTCTGTCCATTTGTTTAGGTACATGCAGGCTCCACTTCGTAGTAACTTATTTATCTATTCTAAACACATCTTACATGTTTTATCCATCCCATTTGTTTTCTTGTCTTCTGTACCATAATTGTATAATTGTACATTATGGTTACAAAGATGATTAAAATGAAATCTTGTCCTCAAATAGCATATAGTCTATTAAAGGAGATGTGACAAAAATATAAGTACGGCACAGGCAACTTTGTACTTTGGGGTCAAATAAGTAGGTCGTACTTTGTTTTTGAAGTGCCCTTGCGGGTGTGCCTGGGTGGCTCAGTCAGTTAAACATTCAACTTTGACTCAGGTCATGATATCACAGCTCGTGAGTTCGAGCGGCACGTTGGGCTCTGTGCTAATAGCTCAGAGCCCAGAGCCTGCTTCAGATTCTGTGTCTCCCTCTTGGCCCTTCCCCTGCTCACATGCATGCACGCTCACGCTCTCTCAAAAATAAATAAACATTGAAGTACCCTTGCTTGCATCATTTCCCCTTCCTGTTTCCTCAATTCCAGATGAGTTTATATTGCCCCATTTCTTGTGTTACACAAATTTCATAAACTCATAAACTTTGTACGAAGGTATTTGGATTTCATGTGTTGTATCTGACAAGAATATTGGCATTTAAGGTACTTAACAAAGAATTACTTGCTAGTAGAATGTAGATTTCATCTGGTCAACAAAGAAGTATTGTGTCATAAGAAATTAGTCCTAGAAAAAAAGACTAAAACCAATCCACTGGTCTCCAAACTTTTTTGTGTGTGGTATTATCAGTAGTGGCATTATTGTTTAACAAAAGATACAGAATGCCAGTAAAACTAATCAAAGTGGAGCTGTCTGGTTGAAGTGGAGGAATGAGGCCTGGAAGGATCAGCATTTGGCCTCCTTTTCTCCTTTGAAGCACTTCCAAGAACTCCTAAGATTCTGAAGAAAACAATTTGATAAATACTAATCTGATCTTCTTTTTATGTATTGGAAGAAATCAGGTTTAAACATTTGCCCAAAGTCACTGAACTGATTGAGACACAACCTGGCCTAGAATGCCTTAAATGCCTTGGTTGGTTATTAATTAGTGCTTAAGAAAATTCAGTTGTTTATAAACTATGAATTGTGAAGTTTAATATGTTCTTTCCTACCCCTAAATTGATTCCTGCCTCCTGTTGTATTTTGTTTCGGGATTAGGGAAAAGAATTCAGAAGCCTGTTTGTCTAAAAGGTCCTGTCTAGAAGGCCTGGGTAAGACCACTTCCAAGCCAGAAGATTCAGAGATCAGATTGGCAGGTGTAGGGGCAATAAGCCATAGCAAGAGGGAAACCGTTATAGAGAGTGGTAGTGGGAAGCCTCCAAAGACTGGCTACTCCAAATTTTACCTTGATTTGGCCATGTGTGATCTTTGTAGATATTCTCTGCCTGTGTCATGCTTGCCAGAGTTGAAAATGAAATAAAAATGTGAACTTTTGTTTTCTACTCAACAGCTCTCAAAGAAAGTGAACAACATAGAGACAGGCTGGGCCTTGGGGGCCACCTTTCACCTGCTGCAGTCTCTGGGGATCTCCCACTGAGGCCAGGCCCTTCTTCTGAGGATTGCATTTGCCAACAACCTTTTTAAAGGTAGAAGGAGAGAGGACTCAGTCATGTTCTGAGCTAGTCTGAGGATAGCCTGGACTGAAGCCCAGCAGCTCAATTCATCAGGAGGAAGGAGCTTTTGGAGACAGGTCTTGCCCTTGAGTCTGGAGATTTGGGTCTAATTAATTCTGTATATCTAATGTGAACTCTTGACCTTACCGCTCTGCTTGCACAGCTGGCACCAGAGTCTAAATCTTTGAGATTCTTTGTGTGTCACAGCCAAAAGGAAAAACTTTGAAATTAACCTTGGAGAGCCCAGGGACAGGTCCCTGGGAACCAAAGAAAAATCTCATTTCAGCCCTTTGAGTGCCTCATTCCTTTGAACATGTTAATTTTCCTCTTAACACGCTACACTAAGCCCACTGATTGCAATCCCATGACCTATCAACACTAGTAATTTTTCCTCCTCCCTACACATTGCCACGTCCCACCCTCTTTCCACTCACCTCCCCTAAAAACAAAAACAAAAACCTGGTTTATGCTTTTCATGTGTAACTCCAAGGGAGAGAAAAGGTAACATACCTGAAATTGTGTGATCCTGCTTTGTGCCAGTTCTTGGCAAGATAGAGAGCAACTCCTCACTGTGCAGACCCCAGCCTAAAAAAGGAGTCTATTTGATCTCTAGGGACAAGGTTTGGGAGAGTGTGGCTCCCTTGAATAGACCTTCTCTTAATCAGGCAATCCTGGGATTAATTAACATATCCAACTTTATAGGAATGTATGTGTATTCAGTGCCAGTTCCTCCTCCCAGGAAAATGTGTTTATAGTTAATTTCTCATCCTAAATGAGTTTTCTTTGTATTTCTAAGAAATTCATCTATTCTGGCTTTGGTCTGTGCTCAGATGCCTTTGGCTGTGCTGTGCAAGGGTCTCTAGATTTGGGTCACAGCTCCTTGCAGTTTGCCCTTTTATTCTCTCCGTTTGTAGTCATATCTCTTTCTGCTCTGACCCTGATAATTTTAGCTAACTTCCTCTAAATTATTTTTTAGTTCCAGGGTGTCTGGTACCTTTCTTGATGGTACCTAATATTTGATTAGGTTGGCCATTTTGGCCCACATCAGTACGGTGGATTCTCTTTTTGTTTGAGTGTTGAGAGCTCTTGATTTTGTGAATTATTTCCCCTAAAATTAATTATCTTTTTTTGTGTGTGTGTAGTGGTGGTGGGGCGGGGGGTTGTTTTTTGTTTTTTTTTTTTTACAGGATCATCATCTGCTTCTTATCTACCCACTCAAGTGCTCTTAGACTTCAAAGATCTTTGTATAGTCTGGCTCCTTTACCTTAGCTCTTTGCCTCCAGCTTCTTTCTAACAAAGTTTGCATGTCCCCAAACTTGTAGTCTTCACAGTAGACTCTTTCAGCTCTTTCAAACAAGTGTTAAATATACCTGCCCCTCACACTAGTTCCTGGGGAAACTTACTTCTTAGTCATTCCATTGAGTCAATAAATATTTAACATCTGATATGTGCAAGTAGGCAAATTTCTATATCCTCATCCCCCAAATTTTGTTTTTTAATTCAATGTGGAATTTCTTCAGATACTTCTTTTATTATACTGAGGTCACTTTTATACCTACTGTCTTCCTCAAAAGATGCTACATAATTAAATAGAATCTTTAGAAAGTTGAAAACTACCAAAGATAAAACCCAGTCTTCTGCCCATTGCAGAATTCCCTGAACATTTCCAGTTGGTTATCATTCATCTTCTGTTTAGGCATGTGTTTGGATAGCTTATTCCATTTTTGGACTTTGCTGATGTTAAAAGAAAATCTCTTTTATATTGAGCTGAAATTACCTATCTTCTCAGTGGTCTTAGTTCTGCTCTGATCTCTCCTTCTACAGCCTTTCAATCTTCGGAGAAAACTTCCAAGTCCTTTATGGTATCTTCTTTAACATACCATATGGCTTCTTTTCAAAAAAACAAAAAAACAAAAAACCAAAAAACAGGGTGCTGGAACCAGTCATCATACACTAAATGTTGTTCCATATAATTAGGGAGAGAGACTGTTTCCTCTAGTAGAAACCAAGTTTTCCCAAGAGGTAAGCTGTGTTCACTAGACTCATCCAGCTTGATGGGTCTGGAGAGGTAAGGTTCCATGGTCTTTAGCACCACAGCTTGTCTGTGAGGCTTATAAATAGGAGCCAAGTATTGTTCACCCAACTCCTTTGGTCATCCCAGATACCTTCAGAAATCTGTAGGTAGAAATCAGTAGAAGCAGTAGTATTCCAGAAGTGTATCTACATATATTCTGATTCTCTTGATGAGAACATCTGGACAATTAATTTATCCAGTTTAGGAGCAACTTGGAATAAGAATTCTTATTTCTTAGAAAAAAATTTTCTATAATGTCCTTTCTGCCCCTTAGTGTACCTTTTGGGCCTCTTATTGAGGGGTCATATAGAGTCTAAATGTTGCTGGTTAAGTTTCCTTTCTCTAAACGTGTAAGATTTCAAACACTAAGGACATGGCCTGGCACATAATGAATGTTGTGTTGTTACATCATCATCATATGAAGAACATCTTCTGTGGGTCGTGGAGGTTTGCAAGATGTGCCTTAAAATTCTTCCTGTCCTGCCTGATTTGGTTGGTGTATTTTTGGAGTCCACGTTCTCCTTACCTGAGCTACCTTTCCATTTTTTGTGAAAGATGATCTTTTTTCCCTATGGTGACCTTTCTGGACTCTGCTAGTACTCACACAGCTTTTCACAGTAACTGCCCTATTCCATTCTGGCCATATTTTTCCTGAGATTACAGGAAGTTTCATGACTGTCACTTTCTTTAGTATCTTTACAAATTTTCTGCATTCGCCTGTAAAGCTCCCCCTGTGGTAACAAGTTTCTCATCCCTTCAAAAATTATTCCCAAGAATAGCTTAGTTTGGTTCAAAAGCAGACGGTTTCTTCTCATCTTCAAATCGGACTTTTGGGCAAGATATTTTTTACAGTGTACAAATACAATGGATGCACAAATCTATAAAAGGATTCTCTGGGACCATGAAGTGAGCTTTTCAAAAACCCAGAGCAAGACACCCTTTCTCCCACAGGTCACCCACTAGTCTACAACCAAACATGTATGTGATTCTGCTGCTAATCGACTTTCCCCTTTGACCTGGTTCCTGAAGTCTTCAAACCTGTGCAATTATTTATTGTTTTATTACTGAACAGACAATGGTGTCCCAGAGAGGAACCATAAATAAAATTGAATTCTGGTGCTGTGATAAGGAAGTAATTAACATTAAGAAGATTTTTTTTTTTTTTTCAGGAAGTCCAGTGTGCACCTTTAACCAAGGTTAAAGCAATTTATGTTTAATTTGCATTGTTAGGGATTCTGAAACAGCAGTTGTAACAAAAATGCATGAATTGGGTATTTTTAATTTTTATCTTCATCAGAAAGCAATTGTGTAAATTTATGACCAGCATTAAAAAGAATTACATAAATCTTTATTATGTAAGTTTCTGGTGTGTAGCTTTATAATTCATCTGTGTATACTACCAAGTGATCACCACCACAGACCTAGTCACCGTACCGTCGACCACCTCCTCCTCTGGTAACCACTGGTCTATTCTCTATAAGGTTTTTATTTTGTTTGCCCTTTTGTTTTTTGAGATCCACATACGAGTGAAACTGACTTTTCTCCAGTATACGTGTTCTTGGCTCCTTTGTGGTAAAATAATTGCCCCGATATGTGTGGGTTTATTTCTGGGCTCTCAGTTCTGTTCCATTTGATCTCTGTGTCTGTTTTTGTACCCATACCATGCTGTTTTGATTATTACAGCTTTGTAGTTTGAAATAGTTTGAAATCAGGGAGCTTGATACCTCCAAATTTGTTCTTTCTCAAGATTGCTTTGGCTATTCGGGATCTTTTGTAGTTCCATACAAATTTTAGAATTATTTGTTCTAATTCTGTGAAGTATGCCATTGGAATTTTAAGAGCTATTGCATTGAATCTGTAGATGCCTTTGAGTTGTATGGGCATTTTAGTATTAATTCTCCTAATCCATAAGCACAGAACAGCTTCCCTTTGTGTCTTCAGTTTCTTCCATCAGAGTGTTATAGTCATAAGTGTCTAGGTCTTTCACCTCTTTGATTAAATTTATTCATAGGTATTCTTCTTGATGCAGTTGTAAATTGCAAATGGAATTGTTTTTTTAACTTCTTCTGATGCTTTATTCTTAGTGTGTAGAAACACCACAGATTTCTGTGCATTGATTTTACATCCTGCAACCTTACTGAATTTTTTTAGTTCTAGCAGTTTTCTGATGGGGTCTTTAGGGTTTTCTATGTATAGTATCATGTCATCTGCAAATAGTTTTACTTCTTCCTTTCTGATTTGGCTGCCTTTTCTCTTGACTAATTGGTGTGGCTAGGACTTCCAGTACTGTATTGAAAAAAAGAGGTAAGAATGGGCATTCTTGTCTTGTTCTTGTTCTTAGATGAAAAGCTTTCAACTTTGCACTGTTGAGTATGATGTTAGCTATATGATTGTCATATATGGCCTTTATTGTGTTAAGTTACGTTCCCTACTGTACCTACTTCATTAAGAATTTTGTTTTTCATTGTTTGTTTATTTTTGAGAGAGAGAGCATGCGAGTGGGAGGGGAGCAGAGAGAGGGAGACACAGAATCCAAAGCAGGCTTTGAGCTGTCAGCACAGAGCCTGATGCAGGGCTCGAACCCACGAGCCGTGAGATCGTGACCTGAGCTAAAGTCAGATGCTTAACCAACTGAGCCATCCAGGTGCCCCTTTGTTGAGAATTTTTAACATAAATGGGTATTGAATTTGTCACATGGTTTTTCTGCATCTATTGAGATGATCAGATGACTTTATTTTTCTTTCTGTTAACATATCTCATTGATTGATTTCTGTATGTTGAACTATCCTTGCATCCCTGGAATAAATTCCACCTGATTGTGGTGTATGATCCTTTTTAATGTATCATTAG